CCTCACAGCCGGTGGGTGAGTTCACAATAAGTTGTGTCTGCATGACGCTTGGGGGAAGGAAGTGTCAAACATGTATGAGAATCAGAAAGAGGAAATTGGGTTTTTCTTGACAAAAATCTATTCTGAAATCCCGGCAGCTACAGAAACGGTGCAGCCCAACAGAGGAAAGGCTGCAGGAGGTGGTGCACTGAGACAAAGATTTAATTAAACATGACCCACAATCCTTCATTATCCACACAGCAAGTGCAGCTGGGCTGATCAATGCCATGGATTTTCATGATACTGTCCCACTATCTGCCCCAGTAAATAGTCACAGACAACTTGTTGGCAAGCTCTGAATGCGAGCTATATTCTGAGCGTGACATGCACTAACTTCTCCAGTTCCTCCACTTCCATTTTTTTTTGTCTTCCCTCTTTGGAAGCAGGTCTGGTGAAAGCTGACCTCGCCCAGGAAGGAGGCGGTGATGGCAACACCATCAGCCACTCCCAAACCCTGTTGCAGAGGCTGGAGGCCCTGCTGATTCAGGGCAACGGAAGTGACGTCTCTCTCCGTGTGGAGACACCCAATGCTGATGAGGTGAAGGTGATCCAGGCTCACTCCCTGGTGCTCTCCCTGCAGAGCTCGGTGTTCGAGGAGATGCTGCTGAGCCGCAACAGCAGCACTGTGGTGCTGAGAGAGAGCTCCGACTGTGCCACTGTGTTTGACAAGTTCATCAGGTGAGGCTGGAGCTGTGAATCCCCACCATTAAAGTCAGACTGAGCTATCTTGCCACCTAGAGGGTTGTTCCATGCCCTACACCTAAGACAAATCAAAACCTTGTGTGCTTGTGGTCAGTCAAGCAGAAAATTGATGTGTGAGGGGAAACTGTTGAGCTGGCCATAGAAAACCTCTGTGTTGCAGGTAGAAGGAGTCCGGACAAAGACACTCAATATAATCAATACAGAAAAACATCTCTCTATTTCTCATGAGCTAATAAGGTTCTTGAACACCTTAATCTTTGTTTATTCTGGACTGAAAAAGAAAACACCTTTAGCAAACCAAGCCCTTTTATCTGTGTTTGCATCTCTTATCCACATGCAAACATCACTTAGTTAAGATGAACATAGCATAATTTTCTGACCTACTGTTTTGGTATTTTAATGGAAACAGATTCTGGGAAACGGTTACGTAGAATACCACATCGCAGATACTGAGCATTACTTAGCGCACGGCATACCAACAGAAATTTTAATGTTTTTGACAGTTCTTTTCATTAACCTGACAATATTTGTTACTGCCAGTATTGTTTAAGGTTTGATAAAGACATGATAGTCACTGTCAAAAAACAAACAACAACAAAATAAAGGTTGTTAAACTTGCACATTTTCAGAACTTGGAGTACATTTCACGTTACTATTTTTCAGATCTTACAGGTTACTATTAGTAACCAGGTTGTATTATAATGTGATGTACCGAGTCCATCAAAAACAAGCAATCAGTGCCAGGAGGAAGGTTTTAGTGCTGTCAATCAAGTTTTTTTTTACTTTGATAACTAGCCTTAGCATTCATGTTAGGCTCTGTTTTTGGGAAGGAGTTGTAGCATAGCAGAGAGCAAGGAGAAGGGTTTGAGCAGCACATAGTATGTTCAAGAACATTACACATTACCTTCCTGGAATGTGCAAGCTACTTTCCCAAAGCTCTTAAGTTACTTTTTGGAACTTGATTGCTATGTTCTGGTGCAGTATTATGCATAATGTCCCATACATCAATAAAAATGTCCAAAACAGAGCTAAAAATTTGTTACTCAGTCAAAAAAAAAAAAAGCTCCAGAAGTTTTAGGTATCCTCTACATTTTGTTCTCTGCAAAATCAGACAACAGTGTAAAGCTGCTAGATTTCTCTCTTATATTGAAAACCACATGATTACTGAGGATTTTACACTGTAAGACACAATTATAGCTTCTTTGATAGCTTTGGAGCTGACTTCCTATAATGATTAAGTAAGCAAAGGTAAGCTATTCAAAACGTTCAAAGGGTTTAAATATGTACTCAGAAATTATTTTAATTAATAGTAATTGAAATGCCTTAAATAACAATGTCATTAGCAGGTCTTTGCATCTTCAGCTCACAGTTCTGTTGAACGTTTCTCTGAACAGACTATTCATTACCTGTCCTTCAATAAATTTTGAAAGAAACATTTATGCGAGTAAGATTTGGTTGTTTTCTGGGTAACATTTGAAGATGTAAACCTGTTATCCCCTTTTCTTTGTGCAGGTATCTGTATTGTGGAGAGATTTCTCTTCGTCTTGACCAGGCCACACCTCTGCACAAGTTGGCCACCAAGTACAAAGTGCAGAGCCTCCAGCAGGGTGTCACCAACTACATGACCCAGAATTTGGCCAGAGACTCGCCTTCAGGTCATGTGGCAGGCTGGTATGAATATGCCCTGCAGGCAGGGGATATTGTTCTGAGGGATAGCTGTCTGCAGTACTTGGCTTGGAACCTGTCATCTGTGCTGCAGAGCGGGGAGTGGGTGTCTATCAGCAGTCAGTTGCTTATGACTCTGCTTCAGCGCTCTGATCTCGTCCTGCAGAGTGAGATGGAGCTCTTTGCAGCTCTAGAGGCCTGGATTATCCAGAATGAGCCTGATGGTTTGACGGCAGAGAACACATTAAGAGCCATGCGTTATGCTATGATGCCTCCTAGGGAGCTCTTCCGCCTGCAGACCCAATCAACAGTCCTGGCTCGTTATCAGGAGTCAGTCCGTGACCTGCTGTACATGTCCTACCAGTTTCACTCAGCCTCGCCACTGCAGATGGCAAAATACTTTGACGTGAATTGTAGCCTCTTTGTCCCAAGAAACTATTTGTCTGCAGTGTGGGGTTCACCTTGGATAATCAACAATCCGACCCGGGACGACCGCAGCACCAGCTTCCAAACTCAACTGGGGCCCAGCAGCCATGATGCCAGCAAACGAGTTACCTGGAATGCCCTGTTCTCACCACGCTGGTTACCTCTCAGCATGAGGCCCATGTACACAGAGAGCGGCGCCATGCAGCCAACACGTGTGGAAGGAGGGCGCCCTCGCATCATCATCACGCCAGCAACATCCAGCGCGGATTTTGCAGGAGTGAATTTCCAAAAGACAGTTCTTGTGATGGCTCAGCAGCATGGTAAGTTAGTCGTGAAGCATGTCTACAACTTCCACCAGAGCACCGAGGAAAACGGTGACTTCTTGGCCGAAGCCAATCTGTACAGGCGCACCTCTGAATACCTCATCGACAGCTCCCTCTTTCTCCATGTTGTGGTGAAACCACTTTACCAAACCCTCATAACCACCAAGAACTGAGTACCAGCCCTCACTCATATCTGAATCCTCCTAGCTTTGTCTCTTGTTTGTCTTTTCACATAAAATTACTGTTTTCACTTGGCAACTAAGATTTTCAGTGTTCCGTCTTGTGGCAAGGTTCATGAGGGAGATCATGAACACATGTCGTAGCTTGGTGCTATTCTCAGTTCTTGTACTGTCGAAACAAATCACGTCAACAAATCCATCCAAACTGCTTAAAAGCCTTAAAAAAGACACATATGTGGATTGAAAACTAAAAAAAAGATTTTTTTTCACGATTTTGTTGTAAATTATTGACAGTGTATTTGACAATAAGAAGAACAAAGAACATTCAGCAGTTTTCTTTCATCTAAATGTTATTTTTTCAGGTGCTATTTTCAGTAAATTTATGAGCCCAGAGGACAAAAAAAAACTTTTTATGTTAATGGGTCATAACTAGGTTGTATCAGAAAATACATTTCTGATCAATAAATTATTAAATAATTGCTCTCTGAGCACCAAATCCTTAGCCTAAAAACTAGATTGTGACTTTTCAGTCTTTATTTCTTTCCTGTATGAATCTGTTGATGTCCCAACACATGTTCACTTAGTTTAATAAATTTATTGTTGCTTATATATGATTCATGTTACCTACTAATAAAGACTTTTACAGTTTTGTGTGTCTTTGTGATTCGCAAAAATACAGTGCTTTGCAAAAGTATTCGTACCTGACCGAATTACTGTGAAGTGGAAGAAAAATGGATTTGTACTAACAAATGAGAATCTAAAATATTATATTACAAGCAGTGTGTTTTAAAAGTAAAAAAAAAAAAAACACATAACAATAGATTATAACAACATGATGAAGGAAATTAAGGTTAAAGAAATATATTAGAATATTTTTTTTCTGATAGATAAAAACAAATGAGCAAAGCATTTTGTTCGTTTTGATCTTTTTCATGTAAGGATAATGAAAATTCACGGGCCAACACCTTCATTGATAAATTGGCCAAACAAATTTTCTTTGATCGAAACCAAACAAAGGCTACAAATTCTTCACTGACGACACCTGTTTGAATATGAAGTTTCTTTAGTCCCTAAAACAAATATGGTTTGCAAACAAATTTTCTTTGATTGAAACTGAACAAAGGCTACAAATTCTTCACTGATGACACCTGTTTGACTATGAAGGTACGTATTTTTGTCTTGTCTTGCCGTTAATTGCTGTTATGTTAGCCAGCTAACATAAAAGACTAGCTAGCTAACGGTTTATTTTTTAGCTAACAAATAAATGTGTTAACAAATAAATTTATTAGCTAGCTAACATCATGCGGCATTTCTGTTTTGAAAATAAAACGTTTTCAGACTCTAATCTTGATTAGCTTCTTATAGTACCTATAAACCTGGGTTGCCACCAGTCACGTAAAATACACGCCAACAAAAAAAGTGTTTCACCCATGACATCAATGCCCATAAATGGTAAGAGGGGAGACATGGAGCATGAATATTTATGAAAGGATTTATTTCTTTCAAATACTTGTTCACGTCTGAGTTTATCAAAATTATATTCTGATAATAATGATATAAGTTTATACAGTGAATAATATCTATTTACAAAATGAACTACAATTGAGAAAACGTGATTGTTGTGAAACGCAGCCAGCGAAAGCTTCGCGCCGTTTAAATCCCGCGACTCAGTTTCCCACAATCCTCTGCGGTCCAAGCAGGAAGAACGTTGTCTCGCAGGGGCTCACTCTGATCCAAGTTAGGAGCTTTCAGCTGCCAGCCTTGGCCCATCATGTAAGTGCTGCGGAGAATTCTTTGCAGCGCATTTGCAAAATTACCCGCTTTCCCGACGCCTGCGCGGGCTGTGCATCCGTACCCGCGCCCCGTGCACGGACACGCACGGCTCGGACCCAAGAAGGCTCCAGGTGCATGAAGATCGAGGCTTGTATTTTGCATCTTTGTTGCAAAGCAAGCCGCCGAAGCTCCAGTACGAGGGCGATGGAGGGAGGGAGCGAGAAAGAAGGCAAAGTCTTTTGTGCTTCCCCTCCCCCTCATCAAAGCAGAGGGGAAATGCCTCAGCCAAAGGGAGGTAAGAAAATGAAGCCGATCTGTGCAAAACTAGCCACATGCAATCACAGCTGCAAGGTTCGCAACGTGCAAGGCTGCAGCCCGAGCACGGTCGGTGCATTTTAAAGTTACAAGGCTTAGGAGGGTCAGTTGCATTTCCTGTTTGAGATCTTCCCCTTTGCACAGTTCCTGGTAAGACGATGCTGTGTGTTCTCATACTGACGCTAATAGCAGCGCACAGGCTGGGGATGTTGGCCACAGTCACGAGAAAAGACAAGGACGCTTGAACTCTTTATAATCAACTCTGCACGAGTTGATGCACGCTGCTCAAGGTAAATCCTAAGTGCCATGTCAAGTCCAGGGCCAAAAAGTGTGCAGCTTTGGTGCAGGAGAGCAGCACACTCTGCAGCTGTCAGTGCTCAGATCTGTCTCTGCTTCTTGGAGACAAAATAATAATAATAATTTTAAAAAAATCTATAAATAGAAAACGAGCTTCAAGGAGGTGGAGAGCTGAAGAGCTGCATAGTCTTTTAAAAGTCTGCAGGGAAAGAGTCAACTGCTGCTTTTATCCAGAAACTGGATACGAGTGAAACACCTGGGTGTCCACTGATGTGCCGCATGCTCAGCACACTTTGACCCCGAGCTCAGGCAGCATGCAGTAACGCCTGGGCCCTGCAGCCGCCCTGCTCTTCAGGATCTACGGTGCAGGCAGTTTGCATGTAGTTCTTGGTGGGGGGGATCAGCTGCAGTAAATGCAGCTCAGGTCTTCTTTTTTTTTTGTTGCTCTTCCTCCCCTCTCTGTGTTTCCCAGAAGTCCAAAGTGAGGCTGGTTTATTGCACAACTTGCAGAGCACACACAGATCACACACTCCAACTGCAACAGGCTGGGTGGGAGAGGGGTGGTTGTACAGGTAGAAGGGAGAAAGTCCCGGATGACCAGGGCCTGTTTATCGGCTACAGTCGAGTGTCCACCCACCTACACAGAGGAACTGTCTTGTTGCATCCGGCTCATCCTGTGATGAATAATGCACACGCTTTATTTATGTTCTGTACATGAATGAGTCGGTCAGGGGCTTTCCTGAGAGCAGAAGTGGGTTTCGGTTGTCACTCGCTGACGTCGCTTGGTGCACGAGGCCGCTGTCGTGCAGCCGCCTAATCTTTCCCTTCAGATTTTTCTTTTAATTCAGATTTCGTTTGCAGGTTTCTGAAACAACAAAATGGTGCTTGTGCTGAATGAAAATTGCTTCCACTGGTCACCTTTAGGCCAAACGGCTGCAGATGTGAGACATTAATGGTCCCCAGCGATGAAAAGAGTTGGTCTGAGCAAAATATGCTGAAAGATTTGCTGTCTGCAGCCCCTCCAGTGTGAGGAATTTCTTGCTTTTCTTTGTTTGAGTAACTTTAAATGCTTCATACTCGATAAATGGTGGGTTTTCTTGCAGGTTCATAGCTTTAATTTCAGTGGAAGCAGTTTGACTGAGCTGTTACTGCTTTGCAGGTTGTCATCAGATTCTGATTGAAGCTAAATGTTAAGTCCTGGTCAAACATTCAGGCAAAATATCAGAATTAGCTGGATTAAGAAATACGTTGTTTTTTGAATGTCCTTTTTGCCATGTTAAGGCAGTTGTTCATTATTTCATCCAGCTGGTAATCAGGACGAGCAATATGGACATTAGTGTTGGAAATGCAGATGTTTTGCCTCACAAAGATGATAGGTCAAACCATCATCTTGTGATGGTTTGACCTATCATCTTGTGATGTTATCTAAAAAATCTTTAGCTAGCATTGTTATTATTTAGAGGCATTCTGACCTTAGTTTGCTAGATCCTTTGTTCAATGTTCTTTTAAAAAGTTTATGCGAACCATGAGCTATAGAGAATCCTGCATCAAATACAATTATTTTTATTAGGATGCTAATTTAAAGATGCTTATATAAATAATAGCTAAGATTTTTTTACACTGATTTGTATTTAAAATGAAATTTGACCAATTAGTAGTTTTTGACTTATTAAATATACCCTCATTAAAATGAACTATTTTGCTACTTTTCTTGACCCTTGACAAGTTTAAAATTAAAGTGAACTGGAGCTCTGGTTTTAAACCTGGTCCAAATATGAATTAAAGCACCAAGTTAGTATTTTATAAAGGTACGAAGATCACTAATGGTGCTGTCGTAACTGCTTGTGGTGCATTATCAAAGAATGCAAAAAAATTACAACTGAGTGACATTATGGACCTATTCTAGTCCAGATCAGTATCTAAAACCCAAATAAATCTTGCTGTATTCCACCCATCCCATACACTACAGTTGAATATCCTCCCTTTGTAGAACTTTTTTATTTTTATTATTTATTTTATTTTATTTTATTTGTTTAAATCTTTTAGTTTGCTGTTGTGGGAATGTATGATAACTCCCACTACTTGTTACAAATGAATTGCCATTTGGGGACTTGATAAATTGGAGTAAAAAAATAAAATCTACGTAGTGTTGGATATTTTGGTTGAAATAGAGCTGATTTATAGTCCTTATGCCAAAACAGCAGTAAGATGTCTCCATACCACACTGCAGAAGTCATCGTTTGGCTTCATGATTTGTTGAACCTACAGGTAATAAAACTCGATGACTATTCATCCAGTTAAAGATTAATGTTTTGTAGTTGAAGGCCTTAAACGTTGTAAAAAGTGAGGAATTTGAGTCTGGAAAATGTGAAGGAAGCCTAAAAACCGAGCTGAATTAGAGATGCTAACAGTCGAGTCTCTCTGGGATTGTTTGCGGTATTCCTACAGTAGTTTTGCTCCACCTTTACATGCCGCCGTTCAGTTCTGCTTTTGTAAACTCCTATATTTGAGAGACTGAATTCTCAAGAATCAGGGGATTGTCTTTGTGCATTCAAGGTTTTGTGAGCACAGAAAGCCTTGAATGTTGGGCAGCCAACATGTGTTTTAGTACCTCATAAGAAAAATTTGCTCATCAAACTAAAGCCTCCATGGCTGAATGGCTGATTTGTGCTCAGCAGATTCATGACTCACCAGATGGCTCACCTGTGTGACAGCTCTATGGCTTTTTGCAGTCGTTTTAGACTTAATGAAGGGGTAGCATATCTTTTTAAGCTTCCTCCTTATGCTTGTGCTCATCACTCATGGAGACTAATTTTAGGATTCAGTGGTATCATTTGACCGCTTCATCTCATCTGTCATAGAAGGCAAATAAAACTACAGGTTTGTTAAGAAAATATTGATAAATTGTGCACCTTAAGTGCCATACTTAAAAGTAATGCCTCAGAAAAATGGAGAGCATAAGCCTGCAGGTTTCATACAATCGTTACCGGGGATTGCTGTGCCTTTGCATATCCCCTAAATATTTTTTACATGTCACATTGCAACTACAGATTTCGATGTATTTTACTGGCACTTAATGTTTTGGAGCAGGATAAAGTAGTGGCTAATTGTAAAGTGGAAGGAAACTCATTCAGGGTTTTCAAAAGTTTTTATGATCTAAAATACAAAAAAAATGTTTTGGCCATTCTGAAATACTTTGTAAATTCACTTTTTTTGCCACAGTTACAGCTTCAGATGTCATTAAGAGACACAATTTTTTGTGTCGAGTATCAACTTCAACTCCCAACAGAATCTTAGTTCATTGAATGGTTCAGTAAAAGTTGAGACATACAAACACATGAATATGCTTTGATCGAATCTAGGGGTCCGTAACCTGTTGCACCAGAGCCTCACTTAGCTCTTTAATCTCTCCAAAGAGCCTCTTAATGACTTTGTCCAACACTGATACAGAGCTGACTAGTGTTTTTAAATGGACAAGTAATAAAACAGCTGATTATAGTAGGTCTTCTATGTATTTTTGCTGAAAGGTCTACATAAAACAACTTTAATAGGACAAGACTTTTTTTTGTCCATTTAGTATGCTTTTTTTTTCCCCAATCAAGAAAATGTTTTCAACTCTTTCTTTGTAAGATAAAAGTTTTATCTTTAAAACCTAATCATAGAAACAAAATTATTGTTTTCTACCCACAGAAGATTCATAGAGGGCAGATATAAAACTTGATAAACAATTTTACGTACAGTTCACTCCAAAACTATTCACACCCGTGGTAGTTTCAGTTTCAGCATTTATTTTCATTCATTTAAAGAAAAAAAAAAGTCAGTTGGTAAAATGAAATAAATATTCCAGCGTTATGAATAATTTTGACTTCTTTTGTATGTTTTCCAGATTTCAGTTTCACTTCTTACCTTCCACTTCACAATTATGCATTGACTAGTGATGGTCTATTAAATGAAACAAGTTCAAGTGTGTCCTTTTGGTGCATCTGTGATGTATTTCCCATGTCTTGAGAACTGGTCACTCAAAAGCAAGACTCAATCAAGCTTTGGGTGCCATCTGTTTTTGTTTTTAACTACAGAAATGTGGCTCTGAATCGGATTGGGTCTCATGAGGAATGATTGCACTGCAAAACCAAATATTCTCCCTGGCACAGTTATGTTGTGTGATAACTTTATTTCTGGACTGATTTTAGCAAAACTCATCAGGACATGAAACATCAAAACTGCGCTTGCATCACCTTTAGGTGTACCTGTTAAATATTGGGTAAAAACTGCGTGTGCTGGATTGCCTCTTTAACAGTTTAGTTTTACCTCAAGCTCTGTGCACAACAGCTGCCTCCTCCTGCAGCCCCAGTCTTGCACAATCACCGTGTTTGTCTGGCTATTTCAGCTGTTTTCACCAAATTTGCTGTTTTGATGGCCGTTGATGATGGCTGTTGTTTAGTTGAGTGTAGTTCAAATGATCAACCACATCCAGACAAGAAATAATTGCTTCTTATTGTAGCAGGGAACAAAAAGGTGCCTCTGTGACTGTGTGTGCAAGGCTGAAAGGGAGAGAGAGGCATAAATTCAGGTGTTGTCGAGGTTGGCAGCAGGTTTCAGATTCTTGTTGCTGAGATGAGGCGGAGGGTGAAGATCAGGGGAGGTGGAGTGTTGCACCTTACTAGGCCAAAAGAGTGCAAGTTA